TGCTTTTTTCTTCAAAAGTTACTTCTGCTCTAAAATTTCTTTATTTTTCTTGAATTATTTTAATATTTTTTACTCTTCCTATATATTTTATCATGTAGAATACTTGTGTTCTTGTTGTTTAGTAGGGGATATCCCATACTGTGATTAATTCTTCAATTTTTGAGATATGGTTTCTTTGTTGGCCCTGTTCATTACTTCTCCTAGTTTTATTCTTTCTTACTTTCTAATTTTCTTGTTCATACATCCTTCTTTCCTTTATCTATTTTTTTGATACTTTCATTTCTTCTTCATAGCTTGTTAGCAGAGTTTTTTTTCTTCTCTGATACTACTCTCTGAACTCTCCTCTCTTTCTGTTTGCTCAAATACAATTTCTTTTTTCTTTTAAATTTCATTAAGTTCTACTTGTACTTGTTTTTTTCTTTTTCGTTTTTATTTCTTTCTAGTTTTACTGTATTATTTTCTTTGCTCTTCTTTTCTTTGAGATCTTCTTCTATTATAAGATTTAGCTGATTAAAGTCTTTCTTCTTTCTTTCAAGTCTTGATTTGGCTTCTTTATATTCTTTTTTATAGTTGAAATAGATGATATACTATAAATTTCTATTTGCAAACTTGTCTTGAATCTTTTTGATATGTTTATTTCCTCTTAAAGACTATTTAATCGATTTTTCTCTTTGTTCTACATTGTTATTTAAAACTTTAACTACCACTCCTTAGCCTTGAAGTCCCCTTTTTCTTTGCATATTTTTGTCTTAGGAGCTCATATATTACTTTCTAAAGATACGCTGTTAATTTTAATCTTTTCTATTTCAGACAATTTTTTAAGTTTGTCTCATATTTTATCTTTCACTATACTAATCTCTGTACTATCTTCTATAAGACATATATCTTCCATATTTTTTTGTGTAATTGCTCCTTCTGTTTCTTTAGTTGCTGTACTTTGAATTATATCTTCTAAAGGTTTTACACTTTGTGTTTTATCTATTACTACTGTTGTTATACTTTCTACTCTTATTTCAACTTCTTTTATCTCTTCTGTTGGTTTACTTTGTTATGTAATTTCTGCTTCTTGTACTTGTTCTAAAATAGCTTTTACTCTATCTATCCCTTTACAAAAAGCTGCTCTTTCTATTACTATATGCTACTGTTTTGCTAAAGTAATGCATTCTTTATCTATGTTTATTATCTTTGCTACTACTTTATCTAAGTAGTCAACTTGTCTTAGTATAGATGAGCTGCCTTCTTAAATAATTTTCCTTCTATACTCTTTGGTTATTTTCTTGATAAAGAACTTTAAGCTTTCTATACTTCACATAATCTACTTAATTTTTAACTTTATCTTAATCTTATACTTAATCTAATTTACTTTATAAATTATTCAACTTTACTTAATGCTCAGTTTGTGTGCCTTCCAGAAGTTGTCTAGTTTTGGTATAATATATGTCAGCACATAATATCTATAATTACTTATTTTTCTTATACATCACATGTCTTCTATTTACATGATTTGTTTTCTTGTCTAACTTATCTAATTTAGGAAATTGTATAACTAATATGATCAAATTTTCTAGGGTTTAGCAAATTCCCAGAAATTATTATTCAAAATAAAGAAAAGTTTTCAACAGGCTATTTTCCCTCTATATCTTCTAAATAAAATACTTTGTTTTTCTTTTTGTTTTTTATTTCTAGTTGTATTTCTTTGTCTAGAATTTTTTTTCTTAATATGTTTTAACTAGTTTCTTACTCAAGTTTAGAAGTTTACTATAATTTTTTTTTAGCTACGAATTTGGTCCAAATAATTTACAGAAAGAGTGTACATAAGATTATTGCTATTTAAATATATATAATTTTTATCTTTTTTTATTTTCTTTTTATAATAGTTAGTTTCTATTTTATTCTTTTCTTCAGTTAATACTTTAGGAATGAAATAATTTGATAATAACTAATATAGTTAGGATAAGCTACAAAATGCTAGCTTTTAATCTCTAACTTGTAAACTTTAAGATAAACAAAATATTAGAATTAAGTAAAATTTTGATATAACAAGTTACTCATAAGTATTATTAGAGTAACTAAGAGAATTACACTTTTGAAAACTATATATATTATATAATAAAATTTAGTAGAGAGTATCTAAATCTTAATTTTTAAATAAAAAAGTTGTAGTCTAATTGCTAAATATTAAAAAAAATATTATATAATATCTAATACTTAAACTAATTAGTATTATGAATAGTTTTTTATTAATTTGCAAATTTTTAAATAGCAGAAAGTTTTTTATAGTTATTATTCAAAATACTAGATCTAGTAACCTAGTATAGTAATTAAATTGTTAGACTGCTATGTAATAGGTTTGAGGTTCAAATCTTACTATCAATAAATTTAAATAATTTCTCAAACTTTGTAACATATTATAGTAAACTCTGTTTATTTCTAAAAGTATACTTCTATAAATTAAATTATATTAAAGCAATTAGAACTTGAAAATATAATATAATATTATATGAATAAATTTTATAAGATATATAAGCAGAGGATCTGTATAGTAGAAATTCTGAGTTAGTAAAATAGTATAGCCTTCCAACAGGACTACATTAGCTAAAGTCTAATCTAAAAAAAAAACTCAGTTTAATAAAAATAGAAAGTTTTGAGATTTCTAGACAAAAAGTAACTAGGACTAGCTGAATACTAGAAAAGAACTAGATTAACTGACTAGTAAAAAATCACTGTAGAACCTAGAGTTGTATAAATATCTACAAGGGTCTAAGCTAAGTAAATCTATAAAATAGATATAAACTACTCTAATAGGTTTGCTTTAAGGTTAACTAGCTCTACAATACTAGCAATATATCTAATATAATATATTCTAAGAGAATCTAAGCTATTTTGAATAAATAGATCTGTAATAAGCTAGCTAGCTTAAGCAGTTAGGTATTGCAATAATATTAGATTGAATTTGTATAGGTTAATAAATAGAATGTTTAAATAGGTAACTTATAGATAGGTTACAAATATAGTAGTATAGTATAGAACTAATCAGATAGCCTAATACCTATGTAGTGAACTACTTAAAATAAATAATAACTAAAGTTATACATATGACTTGTTATACACTCTTTATGTAATTACAAATAGTAGAAATTATCAATATATAATCTCAGTTGCAACTCTAATAAAATTCTTTTGGCAATATAAGCTATCTTTAACAATAAAAAAAAAAAATCAAAAATAAATTAAAAGAAAACTTTATTCTTAATAAAGTATAGTGCTGTAAATAGCTAATTACGACAATTATATTTACTACATATATTTTTACACAAACTTTTTAAAACTTTAATTGTAGTAAATATTACTATATGTAGTAATTATTACTACATGTCATAATTATTATTACATGTCGTAATAATTACAACATGTAATAATTATTATTATATATTACTACATATAGTAATTATTGTTACATGTAGTAATTATTATGATATGTAGTAATTATTACATGTATAGTAATTATTATAACATGTAGTAATAATTACTACTATACGTAGTAATTACTACATTTAGTTACTAATACGTACTATGTAGTCTTTTTTTTAATGTTGCTTATGCAGTTTGAGGTGCTTCTTATTATAGTAAGACTTTGTAATGAGAAATATCATAAACAACATTAAAAAGGGCTATGAGATTCCTCATTACAGCATTATAGTAAAACCTGATCACGGGTATACTATAGAACAATACCAGGTCTTACTCACTTAAAAAGGCCCACTTATTATAAATTTTTTTAACATAGTTAAACATTTTCGTGTTACTTTTATTTTGGGTAGTCCAGTTATTGTAATGATAAGTCTAATATTATCATTATACGTATTACAGGCAGGGCTTAAACGACCATAGTAATTTGCTAGCCATGCATAAGTTCTGTTCTTAATCTAAAATATATTTAGAATTTATTTGCTAAAATAACAATTCAATGCACTAGTTTATATACAGTACGTACTAATTTTGATGAATCAAAAAAGACACTTTAAACAATGAACGTGGCGCAGTAAATGGCCAGAAAATTAATATAGTCGTTTAAGCCCTGATTACAGGTTAATTTTCCGAACCTTAAAATAATGCGCATGCGCCTTGCATAATGTAGCTCAAATAATTCACCTTTAATAATAGTAACACATGCTGGGGTCTATGTAAATCAAAACTATATACATCAGAATAATGATCGAGATTAATTATCACTATATATATTTAGTATATAGTAAAGAATGAATTACATGTTTTTAGATGTTTAGAGTTAATCGCTTTACTTTCAATTACTTTAGCATAAATCTATCCTTAAGCATGTTTACAACAAAGTCACGTTAAAATTTTTAATATTATAATTAAATTTCAAATTGAAATACTGTATATAGTGATAAATCCCGATTATAAAAAAAAAAAAAATCTTTAATAATTAATTTATATATGGTACTGCATATAGTTTTGATTTATACAGTTAACCTAATGCTCTAATCTCACATGAAATGAGTGAAGATCAAAAAATCGAGGTATTTGGCTTTGTATTCTGAATAATATTCGAAAGTTAGTAATTTTTGTGAGCTGTTTAGAATTGTTACACTCAATATTCCATCAGTTCTAATGAGAATTTACATAATTATTTTAAGTTAATTTTAACCATCATATGAAATACATTATATAAAAATTAGAGAATATACAGTATAATGGCGTTTCAATAAATCAATATTTCAAACTATTCATAATACAAGGTATATTCATACTGGTTGTTTAAAAAGAATAATAAAAAATAATTCAGAAAGTTGAGTTTATAATAATCTAAATTCGCTTCTGAAACTTGTGATTGTTTTATTAAACTGTATTGATTCTGTCCCTATTTATTAATTAATTATAGTAAAAAAAAAAAAACTTGAATTAGACGCAAAATTTTATGTAAAAGTTTATTTAAGATAATATTTTAATACATTATCTTTTACAACCTGAAATTTTTATCAAGTAAAAATTTCATCAACTAAATTATTTACATCGTAATTATAATTTGGTTCTTCAACTATATTCTCAGAACTCGATCTCAAACTAACATTATTGCTTTCACTATTTCCTCCAAAAATTTCATGATTTAAATCAAACTTCTCTTCCAAACTCAGAATCTCATCAAGTGATTCAAATTCTACTTCACTATCTTCAACATAATCTTCTTCATAATTATCGGCATCTAATTCTTCAATTTCATTTGCTACGATTAATACATCTTCTAAAGTAAGTTCACGATCAATATAAGAAATTTCTTCTTTGGCATGTGTCATATAATATCGATGAATCTTTGCTAAACCTTCTACTTTTTCAAATGCTAATTTGGCTCTTTTTTTTCCATAAATCCATCCCAGAGTAGAAAAAATCCTTTCACAAGAAGCAGAATGCGGAGTAATATTAAGAAACTTAATTGCTAAAGTAGAAAGATGAGTGTGAACATCCTCAAGTGTTTTCCACCATGTTTGTGGTATTTGACAATCAGGCTCAAATGGTTCATTATAAGGTGGTTCATTTAACTGATAAGAAGCAAGTTGTTCTAAAAGTTGGCGACAAGAGCTTTCAGTATTACTAGAAGCTTTCCATAAAACACTTGCATATTTTGCAACTTTTTTATATTGCCCTTTTTTAAAACCGTAACCTAATATATATATATATTGTAAATTTATTATAGTTTTTTAAAATCAAAATATATTTAATTTATTAAATACCTCTAAATTTTGGATGTAAAAAATATGTTAGCCGATATATATCATCATTAAATTCTGAGAGCCGTTTATTAATAGAGGTAATACAATGTCTTCGAAAAGTAATATGCTGATCTTGAGGCATTCGATAAATAGTGGCTGCTAATTTGATTAAATGAATAAAACAATCTGCAAGTGTTGAATCTTGACTTTCAAGTTGAATAATAGATTCTTTAATAGGCCGTAAAATGGTAGTTATAAAATCCAAATTATCATAAAATACTCCTCTATTTAAAATTACATATACTTCATTATTTGAAATAATATCTGAACTATGTTCTAAAATCTTTAAATATATAAATAATTAGTTCAACAATCAAAATTCTTTACTATTCAAATCTTTACTATAATGAAAGCAAGCAGTGATTATTTAATATAAATACAATTTACTTACTCGAATAAATGCTACTTTTAAACGTAGTATTGAATAAAGCGTATCATAATAGCTTGACCAACGAGTAGCTACATATCGTTTAATGCCTCCACCTTCAATATTATTTATTTGAATTTCCTTTTCAAGTGCCGAATTAGCAATATGACATGATCTAAAAAATTGTGCAACTAATGTTGCTTGAGATAAAATACGTTTAGCAAAAGATTCTTTCATAATATCTTTGCAAATAAGATTTAGCCGATGGGCTATACATGACATATTTACTATATAGGGAAATTTTTGTGTAATTATTCGCCTTGCTGCTGCAACGTTTGCTCTATTATCACTAACTACTGCACAAAATTTTTCTTCTCCAATTTGAGTAATCATTGTTTCAATTTCTTGGGCAAGAAATTCTGCTGTATGTCTTGAGTCTGAATAATTACGTAAAGCATATAAATGCTCTTTTTAATTAGGTGTTAAAAGTAGAAAGTTCCAAATTGATCGGCCTCGTGGATCTGTCCAACCATCAAGCGCTATTAAAAAAATTAAAAATGAATAATATTATATATTATTTTTAATTATAAAAAAGAAAATTTAATGATATTTATATACCAAGGGTAATATTATTTATGCTTTGCAGCTCATTCTCTATTTTTGCTTCTACTTGAATTAGTTGCTTATTAAAAATTCTTCCCGCAAGTGTTTTAGGACTCAGGATTTTAAAACCTGGTCTAAGGTCCTGAAGCCACGCACGAAATATTTCATTTTCAGTAATGTTAAATGAAATACCCGCACAAACAAATGCACAACACATGCCATCTTCTAAATGATCTTGTCTTTTTGAAGGTAGTTCTTGATTTTCAACAAATTTAAGGATATTTCCTTTATTTTTTGAATCAATTGTTCGTTTCTTATTTGCATTTTGATTCTCATCATCTTTAGTCAATTCCTTAAAATAAAAAAGTTGAGCTTCTAGTGGAGCATTAGGGCAATTATGTGCAATATGAAATTTAAGAGTTGCTGTGTTTGCACGCTGCCACTTTTCTGGACAATATTTGCAACTAGCTGAATAATGCCCACTCTTTTTTTTTTCTATCTGATTGAAATGTTCCCAAACAGGATTAAAAGGTCTACTGGATGCTTTTTGCTGTTTGCTGCTAGCTATTTCAGAACTAGAAACTGAAATAGATTCTTTGTCTTCGATATCATTAGATGGTATTTTAAAACAAAAAAGATTATCGTTACGTACAATCTAAATGCAAAATTTTTATGATCATTATTATACTGTACGTATTACTGTATTAGCGGTATAAGAATGCATCTAAATTATCTAATTAGTAAAGATATAAATTAGCTCATACTAAATATATAAGCTAGTTGAGCTATTTTGCATCTTTACCAATTGGTATTATATAGATAAGTTACCTCTGTATGTTTTATATCATAGTTTTTTTTTTTTGTTTTTTTTTTTGTTTTTTTACCAATACTGCTTTCGATCATTATTTCAATTTTTTTTGATCTTTTGATTATATTCAAATGTTATGAGAGTTCTATGAGCTTCTTCGTACATCTTTTGATAAAGAAAATAGCTATATTGAATCAATCTTGAAGCTATAGTAATAATTTGCTGTGGTCTTTTTGATGTTAATTCCATAAATTTATCAATATTCCTTAGCAAATTTTATAGTATTCAAATGTCTCATCAACCTATTTCATTGAAATAAGAAATTTAAAATTAATACTCGATTAAAACTATTAATATCAGATTTCTAATAATAATTAAATACCTATGTTCATCTTTTTCTATTTTAATTCTTTTACAGTAATAATTCTCTAGATTGTTCGTACTCATAGTACCCATATTTTTTGTTCTCTTTCTCCATAATAAATATTGATACCTTTTATTTATTATTATTTTTCTTTTTTTCTAGCTCTAATATATTTCTCGCCAACAATATCCAATGTTAAATGAACTACAAGTATTTATTATATCAGATCTTTGATAAATTCGAATGCTTCCATTTCTAATCTTGGCAAATTTTTATAACGATAATATTTAAATGTTTATGTTCATTTTTATCAGCCACTAATGTTCTATAATTCCTATAATTCCTTATACTCATCCTTTTTCACTTCAATTCCTTTACAATCTCTCATTTCAGTTTTTAATAATATTCGAATGCCTCTCAATTTCCAATTTTATAACGTTAAATATTTTATTTATATTATCTATTTTTGTGGATTGTTCATAATAGGCAAGTGCTTTACTTCGTTCTTTTCATATTGATAACTGATCTTAAATGTTTCATCTGTATCATTCATTTCAATATTTTCAATAATCCTTTTTACTCTAATTTCTTCTTAATAACAATATCTAAGATTGCCTTATACATATCCATTTTTTTAGAACAAAAAAAAACTATTATATAGATAGCAAGTTGACCTTTATCCACATAAAATTTAGGTATAATTCGTTTCGTCTGTCTTACAACAATAATAAAATATCGGTATTTTCTTTTTTGCCACACTATACTAGCAACACCCTTACTTACTCACAACCCGCCTTCTAATCACACCTCTCTATAGTTATGTAACAAGGTTTGTATTTACTTCATATTATTTGCAAGGATAATTTATTAGCTTACTAATTCTATATTTTATATTTATATGTAACTTTTTACTACATATCACTAGGGTGATCATCAAACTAATCAAATTAAACCATAATATTTTTTATGAAGATCCGAATTTACTGCGGGTAATAACAACTTTTGGTACAGTTTTCTTTTGAACTAACATAAT